CGTTCTTCACATCCAGCCGCCCCCCCCCCCCCCAGAGTACTAAAGCTCGGCTGTCACTTAGTTAGGCGGATAAAATTAGTGTAAAACCTAGTTCTTTGTGTGGTTCAACCACATAAAACTACGTTAGTATTTCCAACTGAATTTGATAAATTCGCTACTGTATACACACCATTATTGCACCTATCTCCTCCAGATCAGATATTCATGTTTTAGTGACACCATATGATATTTGAAAATATTGCAAGATTTCATTTTCAATTACAAATCAAAAGTTGTCCATCTTAGTTTTCATCCCCTAAATATAGCACAAAATTTCATGTGTTAGCACTCTTTTATACAGTCGCTGATATATACTATTGAGCTACTGTAATTAATGCAATGTACAGGGGTACATGTAAGATGTGGGTGCCTAAAATGACAAACTTGCGCTTTCAAATCTTTATCTGAACTCTCATCTCCTCAACTTATACACTCCTGTAAAGCCAACACGTTATCTTTTCGACACCAGGTAAGATTAATCAGATTGTCCACCAGTTGGCCCACCTGAAATTAAACACGGATTTAATTAGCACAAAATCTAACATGAAACCCATGCTTTACCACTTCTATTTATGGTTTCTTAAATGTGCACGATGTTCTAATGCATAAAAGTAAACACCTTGTAAAACTGGTAAATGACTATCACTTTGAGCACCCTCAAATCTTTATCTGAAAAAGAAAACAACCATCAAATGACCTACAGCTGTACAGACTTTGTCTTCATATCTTTACCTTATAACTAAGATCTAATAAACACTAAGATCTTATTAGATCTTAGCTTATAAGCTACATTGCTTTGCTTTTCTTTTATAATTTTGAAAAGTTTTCAACGTGAGCTATACTGAGTGATGTGAGCCACCCAGTACATACAATTTTACCCCAAAACTGAATTTTTAATACTTAAGATTGTTCTACATTCTTTAAGTTTTGAAACTTAATAATGATTATTTATCTTGTCTCCAGAACAACTTCAGAGGTTTGCTGGTCTTGGTGTAGGGTTGGCAAGTGTGTTAGCTGAAAATGTTCTTTCCCATCCTTGTATTGTGCTCAGAAGACAATGCCAGGTGAGCTGAACCTTTGCTTCCCAATTTTTTGTGTCATCTCAGTTCAGTGGAAGTAAAATTTAGTGGGCAAATTTTTTTTTAAATTTAATATACATGAAAGAATTAGAAATATCTTACTGATACAGGTATAATGCAGGTATTAGACATCTCTGGATACGAAATTGCAGGAAGAAGGTATGATTGTCAGATTACTGTTTAATTTTAAATCAAGGCATTAAATGAATTGAAATTAAACTGTTTTTGTTTTTTTCTTTTCAAAATTCAAAAAAGGGTATAGCATGATTTATTTGCCACTACAATTTCACACCTGGATATTGCTGTCATGATGTTTTATAAGTGACAAAAAGATACCAGTCTTTGTCTGCGTGTTACAACTAAATGTACTGGGAAAGCTTAAAATCTATGCCTCTTTAATTGCAGGTTCATCACCAGTCTATGAACTATCATTTGACTCCATTTACTCTAGTGCCAGTGATATGGCGAATACAGACAAGTCAGGTGAATTCTAGTCTTGATGTTCTTTGAGATCACATGTGCCATCATTGTATCTAGCATTAAAAAATATGTATTTTAAATTGTATTACATCATGCAGTGGTAATATTGTAATACGTTAAATTTATTTTACCACTGTATGAGGTGAATGTCGTTTGGTGATGCAGTTGTTCGAGTATGTGTTTTCTTTTTAATCCACTGTATGAAAATATAATTTCCTTTTCAGAGTATGACCTGTCTGTGGAAGGGTATTGGAAGTGTTTTCATAGTGAGAGGGATTGGACTTGCCAGTGAAGGTGTCCTAGCAGAATTTACGCCATTTCCAAAGTAAGTTTTTTTATGTAAATAAAGTTTTTTATGTAAATAATGTTGAATTTTTATGGACAGACATTATATAAGTCTGAACATTTAGCCATCACCTGTGCCTGTCATTGCCCATAGTGTTTGGGTTGCAGTGCACTTTTCTCATAACTTTACATGTTATGTATTGTTCTCAAACTAATTACAAAAATGATTCTCACGTATAACATATGGCTGGAGTTTGGACACCAGTCTGCTTAGATAACTTACTTTGAAATAATGATTTTTTATTTCTTTTTTTTGTAAATTTTTTTTCTACAAATTGTCATTTTTCAAGTCATACACAAGTCACATGTGTGTGTAATAAGCTAAATAAATTATCATTATTATTATCATTAAATTAGTTGTTCATCATTAAGACTGTTATGATGTCACTTCTATCAGTTTTGTCATTGTATGTCTGTTTTTGCCGTCTTGTTGCTTATATAAGATTAATTTTACATGGTAACATTGGCCTTCCTAACATATTGATGCAGTTTTAGTGTGTTTATTATCAAGTGATGTTTAAATTTCAAAATGAATACATTTTAAGATACCCAATTGATATATATTTACGCATAATTAATTTCTTTTTTTTTATCAGGGAAGTTTCAAGACATAGCTCACTCAAAAAAATGGCCCAACATTTATTGTTAAAAGGGTAGGTAATATTTTTGCTTTTCTGTAATATAATCCCATGACCTTGAGAAATATTCAGCAATAATCAATTTTGACATAGATTCAGATTTGAATAAAAAAAAAAAGATGAGGAGTAAAGGAGACTTTGGTCTGAAGAGCGATACAGGAGTTCCTTTATTATTTTTATGCTTCTGTTTGACATCACATCCTGCCAGCTTGCCAAGTTGTCATTAATAACTTTCATTATAGAAACCCTGCAAGTGTTAATGTAATAAAATTGATAAATACTATACCAGGTTTAGGGGGAATGTAAGATGCTTATCTAATTCTGCAGGTGTTCTTTAGGCCACACAATGTTATTGTATTTCCAAGACAGAATATTAAATCAATAACAGCGAATACATAACCTAAGGAAAGGAATTTTAATTAAAAAAACCATTTCTAAACAATAAGAGTGCTATAAGACTGTTCCCTTTTAGTAAGTAAACTTGGTCATAATTTTGGCATCAAATGATATGATATCATCTTTCTCTCATTTTTTTTTTCCTTGATGCAATGATGCTGGCCAGAATAAAAAATAATGTTGTGTTCATTTTAATGTAAAAACAATGTACAGCTGGCAGTTTAAATTTTGAGGCCCATATTTTTGTGTTCCAGACTATCCTTGATCATCACTGTTCCTTTTGCTGCGGCCAGCCTTGTGGAAACTGTTCAGGTACATATGACTCATTAACTGTTTTTACATTATCTGTTGTCTTCCAATTTCCTACTGCATAGTCCAGCATTACATATTGATTTGAAGTCTCCAGGCAACAAGGATTGTGGTAAAATTTGAAAACAGTTTCCACAGTCAGGTCCATAGGCTTGGAGGGAGGGGATTCGGAAACACAGACCAGTTAAATTTAAAATGTATGTTTTATGATAAAAGGTTCACTTTTTAGAAAAAATAACTTCATTTTAAACTTGCTGGCTACAGGCCAGACATTCATTTTGGTGACAGCAGTAATGTCCACCTATTTTCCAGAGGTTTGCCAGACAACTGTATAATATACATAATTTTTTTTATTACTAATAACGTAATAGTTCTTGTCACCTTTTTTATTCAGAGTGACATTGCCAGTGAACGCCCAGGTATATTTGACTGTCTGAAGGAGGGCTTGGCAAGGCTAGTGGGTGTTGGCACCCCCCATACCACCAGGATATTACCCATCTGGAAGTTAGTCGTCCCTTCAGTATTTCTTGGACTTACCCATTACATAACCATGGCCATAGCTCAATATACAGCCCTGCATACAATGAAGACAGAAAAAGAGGAAGAAATGGTAAGTATCCATGATGTAATACACCCTAGGATTGATACTCTAGGCATTATTACATACTTATTCTAAGTATTTTTATTCTAAGGGATTTATTTTTCATAATGCTGTAGCTTTGTAAGCCATAACAGAGTTATCACTATATCTTTACATCTAATTGATGTTACCTTTGGCTTAATCAAGAAGAACCAAACCAAAAGCACAATTTGGTATGTAGAAAGATAATTTTGGCCTTTTTGTCTCTTTTACCCACAGTTAACTTAAAATGATATGTACATGCAGTAGTAGTAACTACATATGTTGGCTTTCTTCATCCCAGATGTGTAATGAAGATTGCCAATGATACAACATTAGTCATTATAATGATGAGTCTAAGTACAGACAATAGGTGTCATCTTCAGTTAACTGGTGTAGAAACAATGGTTTGATCTTGAATGTTAGCAAAACAAAAGAGATGATTGTAGACTACAGAAGGAATCAAAACAGTAAAGATCCTATTGAAATTGGTGGTGAGGCTGTTAAACAAGTCTGTAATTATAAGCTGTTGGGGATTGAATTGAACAATGCACCAACTTGGAGTGATAACACTATGAAAGTATAGAAAAAGGCAATGCAGCAAATACAGTTTTGAAAGAAATTGAAAGCATTTACTAAAAATGCATCCATTTTAACTAATTTTACAGGTGTGTTAGTTTTTTAAGTCTTTGTGATAATTAATGGCATGGGCATTCAACCTTAGAGGGAAAAAACATTGGAAAAGTTAGTTAAATTGGCAAGTGACTGATTAGGGCAGATCTTGCTATTCAGTCTATTTACCTCAAGAGGGTAGTAAATAAAACACTGTCTGATATGAGGAACAGTTTCTATCCAGCTCACAGCTTTTAATTTTCTACCAAGTAACTCCAGGCTTTTAGTTTTTTCAGGTAGTAAAATTATTTTTATACAGCTTTTATCCTGCAGCTATATCCCTTTTAAGACAGTTTTACACTTATGTCATTCTAAAAGATTTTTTTAAAATGATCAAGCAGTGTTTGTGATATAACAATGAAAAGCCATAGAGAAATATAGCTTAATTATGTCTTTTGATCATTTGAACACAATTGGTGTAATTGTTGTTACAGTATGAAATGAGACAGTTAATTGCATTTACGTATATAATAGAGCACTGAGGTAAGCTACAATTTGTTTCAGATGGTGTTTCACTCCTGACACATTTTTACCTCTATCTTTGGTCAGTTTTATTCATTTGCAGCAAAGAAAGAATTCATAAATGATCAAACTTTTTATATGAAACAAAAAACTAAGTCATGTCAATAAACAACAACCAAGATGTTGAATGAACCTCAATAAAAGTTTTTGAATGATATGATTACGTATTAAAAAAAAAAAGAGGTTGAAATCAGTTGCAGCTTAAAAGTACTAAACACCTGGCTTTTGTTAGCTTTATTTTCAACTGTAATTTATTTTTACTATTGGAGACAAATTAAATATTTTTGCAGCTGTGAACTACCTTAAATGAGAGATATAATGATATAATTAGCTTAACGTTTCATCAGTTTTTACAAAATTTGTGACAATTGACAAAATAAGCCATTATTTTTCAATAGCCCATATATAGATGTTAGGAAATCAGGCATATGTTAATATTTATAAGTAGAAGTTAAATAAGTAAAAAATATGAGTACAATTTTTATGCTTTTAAACTATCACATAGAGAATATTCTATCTTTTCAATTGTGCATTCACTGTTTGTGACTAGTCTACATATACCATTCTTCAGATTGGTTTTTATACTGAATGGTTTGTCACTTCCATTCTGCCCTTAATTGGTGAGCAAATCATCAATGCTTCATTGAAGTTAGTTTTCAAATTTGATCCATGGTTCTGATAGCAGATAGGCATAATTCTCAGAAACTCATTATTTTCTGCACTGCAGCACTAAATATGTTGTTTTCCAGATCACTCTCAGTTAAGTTTTTTTTTAATTCAATATAACCGTAAGCTGACACAAAAAACTTTGAAAAATAAGCAAAAAACCATAATTCTTAGATTCTGACAAACTTACATTTTTTAAAGTCTTTATGTCATATTCTTTGTATAACATGAGTAAAATTTCATATTTCATTAAAATTTATACAGTAAACTGTGAAATTAAAAGACCATTTCCAGACCCTATCGTACTAACTTTGGATCGAACTATCTCCAAGGGGATTCTCGCTTAATTGCAATTTACTTAAGAGGCTTAGATGTCTGTCACGCCTGCTGAAGCTGATAGAGGGTAATTAAGTATTGTTTAGCAGCTTTAGTAGGCATCCCAGACATCTAAGCCACTTAAGCTGAAAGCAATTTAGTGAGAAACCCCTTGGAGATGGACCAATCCTGTTAGATCGATCTAGGGATGGAACCCAGTCTAACTGTGATCATCTTAGCCTTAATGTGCATCAATTATATACAGGCCTTATAAGCAAAATAGTAGTTTGTTATGTCTAGCTTCGATCTGTGGTTTTCACATATTGCCAAAGTAACAACTCAAATGGCAATTCATGGTGCAAATGTAGAACTAGTGGTTGGGAACACTGCAGTGTAAAAAACAAGAATGGTTAAACTGCTAATATACCATTTCAATATGTTGTGTATATCAAGAGCACATAATAAGAGTCATGTTGAAAATAGTTCACGGCTCATAAAAAGAACCTGTATGCAAACAAGGCTAACCAAATTGTTTGGGCTCTTTTACGTGATGCCCTTGACTGTTACTTTTACATTACCGCCATGAATTCATGGTTTGAGTCTGTAATTTAGTGTTCATTATCACAAGGCTCGATACAAGGTGATTATCTTTATAGGGACTGATATGTAATTGCATTATTTCAGGGGCCAAGGCATGAGGATCAGGTACAGCATGCCCAGTGAAGTATCTATAAGACCAGTTACAAATTTTAATTGCAACATTTCAAGACCCAAGGCATGAGGATCAAGTTCATCATGCCAAGGGAAATAATTATGAGACCAGTTACAAATTTTAATTGCAATATTTCAGGACTCAAGGCTTGAGGATCAGCTGCAACATGCCTACCAGTAGAGAAGTATTAATGAGACCAGTAACATAATTTAATTGCATTATTTCAGGACCCAAGGCATGAGGATCAGCTACAGCATGCCCAGAGAAGTATTTATGAGACCTACTTCCCAGAACTCCTGGCTTCCTTCACAGCTAATCTGGTAGCAGATGTGATGTTGTTCCCACTAGAAACCATGGTAAACCGGCTGTTCATGCAGGGCACCCGCACCATCATAGATAATACAGACAATGGACTGGAGGTGGTACCCATCACCACTGCATATGATGGACTTTTTGACTGCTTTAAACATATTGTAAAGGAGGAGGGCTTTTTTGGATTCTACAAAGGGTTTGGTGCTCTCTGCTTGCAGTATATGCTGCATGCTACCATACTGAAATTGTCAAGCATTTTACTGGAGAACATTGCCGGCCACAGCCCAAATCCCCAACCCAAGTCCAGACCTGAGGACCCCAACAGATACCAAGAGTTAGGGGCTGGTGAGGTCCCTGGGGCACAGAGGAGTGCTTCACCTAGGTACTAAGAAAGGCCTTCTGCAGGCTGGCAACCATAATAATTAAGAAATGATCCAAAGAATAAACACCTGTACCCTAGGAGGAATTAGGAAGGCATTTAATGATAGGTTCAAAGAACCTTATGAAAATAAGTCTCTTAAATACATGTGTATGGTTTGCAGGATGTAAATATATGGAATTTATTCAGTGAAATTGTGTTTAAGTTAAGAGAGAGAGAGAGAGATTTCATTATTGCCATTTAAAAACATATGTTTTCAAATGCCATATGGTTGGTGTGATTTTTTTCTTTTTGCTTCATGGAATTTGAATTCTTTTTAAGACACCATTAGAGCAAATATTGTAAAGAACTTATATGGATATTTATTACACCAATATTTTTTAATGTTTTGTTTACTGATATGGTGCTGAGAAACTAAACATTCTATAAAAGTCTATGTAACTAATAATTATACCACTAATAATTTACTGATTATGTGATATGGAGGTAAGTGTGTTGTCGTCTTTCATGTAAAATACCACTTAGAATGTATTTCTATTAATAAACTATTTTGTTGCCATTTTAGGTAATTTTTTTTAGGCAGTTAAGCTTCTTTTGCTCTATATGACTAGACACTAATATAAGTATCTGAACCTATAGACGTCACCTGTGTCTGTTGTCCCTAACTCAACAGAAAAACCATTTAACTTATTGTTCTCAAATTTACAGAATGATTAAGGACCAAAATACAGCAGTTTTAAACCAGCCCTGCACTTTTTTCTGAATGTCCACAGTAACAGTCATATATAACCTAAATGTGGTGGTCATTATGCTTTTGGATATTATGTAATGTTGCATCAGAATTGATGAGCATTTTGTTTTCTTATTGCAATAGATGGAATGTGTTATTTGTTATCCTAAAACTTACTGTAACAGTTTTTTCACAAGCCTAAAATACAATCAACCTGATTGCATTCCTTCTCTTAAAGTTAAGAGGTTTTCATAAATTGTCATTTTGTGAGTATTGGTTTAAAGTCATATGGGCTTGAAGCCCTGTGCTTGTTACACTTTCAAAATGGCAACTCAGTAGTGTAAAAATCAAAATTGGTCGTTCTTACGGCTTATGCAGTATGTTATATTGCATCATAATTGACAAAAACATTTTGTGCACTGACATTGTTAAGTCGTTTGTTGTCATTTTGGACTTAATGTTACTGCTATTGTTTTCACAATCTTTAAAAATGAAAGTGCTATGTTTTTTTTTTTCTGTGCCTGTGATACTATTTATTGTATTTCACTTTTTTTGACACTTCAGTAATACATCTGAATTTAAATAAAACGAACAACATGTCGTTTCACCAGTGTTTTATCATTTTTTTCTTCTGTTTAGAGCTACTGAAAACTGATCATCTTGAAATTGATGATACCGTCAGAATTCCCACAAATTTGATTTGTTGCCACCAACTAATCGGGTTTCTTTCAATGGCTTATGTTTAAAGGCACACAGATATTGATACTAGCCCATAGAATTGGATTTGAGATTACCTGGCAGGATCTATTTTTGTCGAAAAATGTGCCGGAGTAACAAAGTGAGGAACAATTAAGTTGTTTGATTATCAAAAAGTTCTTTGAATGTTTCGTGCAGTTATATTTTTCTATAGCGTGTAACGAGTTGCATTTGACAGAACAACACGAAATCTTAATGTGCGGTATCAGATGTCGTAAGGCCTGATTACACGGGGGGCGCCACACCAGATTACCGGTACTTGAGCTGCATCAGGCGAAGATAAACGTCGTATCAATTGGGCGTAACAGGGAACCGTTACCTTTTTCTAACACACCAGGGTGATAAGGTATTTGCTATGAAGGTTGAGATAACATTTTGAGATGAAAACCCGATTTCTTTGAAGCTGTCAGCCGAGAAATTGATAACGCTTTGTGAAACCCATCAACTTGCGTGATATGGGCTCGTAAAAAGTAGCATAAAGGTCGTCCTGGGAGAATAATTGTTTCCCCGAGAAGATGGCATTTATATCAGTTATCTGTCTTTTCAGACTGAGGGTGGTAAATTTAGCAGTCATATTAAATTACTGTCTTAATCCTTTGTGGTTTTCAACAGAGCAGTTAAGGCATCAACTAACTTGAAATGAAGGACCGCATTCTGGAATAGATAATGATTTCTTTCTTTTTGTTTTACATATGAATTAAGTATGTATTTTGCAGTTCCCATCCCAATATAGGCAGATGCTGGATCCGCTGAGGCTAATCTTATGTTAACAGCAGAAATAAATAGTTTAACTAATTTACAGGTACAAGTAAGATGTCAACCAGTTGGGATGTCATGCATAATTAAACTGTGGGTGCCTTAAATATTGTGTAAGAAAGCAGGAATATAGCATCGCTGCTAGTTTGAATGGAATAATAAATTGAAGAGGATCCAATTGGGATCCAATTGATCACAGTTCACTGGAAACAAAATCATCAATTCACAAATCACAGAATTTATATCTCACTGATAATGCCAGTCGAAAATCCTGAAAATCCTGAATCGCCGGGTATAATGATTTCACCTTGGACACAATCGTTATTATGCCCAAGATTTCACGAAGGGCGAAGAATAAAAAGTTGCATTCACGAGTCATGGGAATGGGGTGTTTCGTGCTAATTAATATGTAAGTTTCACACATCTCAGGAAATAAAATAGTGGCTTTCACAGCTAAAGAAAATATCCAATGGGACCCTCATTGAAGTAATATTTTCTCCTTTTGTGATTAGTACCTTAGTCAGTATTTAAAAAATCTTAATCTCATAAGATAAATCACTTTTCTGTAAAACTTCTAAAATGCGCTGATTGAAAAGCATTAAGAGACTGTTGTCATATAGTATTAAAAGGAAAATTTTGGTCACTGTATTTTTATTAACTTTGTGAGTACATGAATATTTCAATCTTTTTATTCATTTAATTTTAATGCAACTCATATTGTTACCGTTATCAGAAATTTTCAAAGTTATCAGTAATTGATCAGCTCATAAGTAGAGAAGGGAAGAAATATCTTTAATTGATAGTATATTTTGTCGTTATCAATATTGTATGATTCATTGCGTGAAATGAACCCCTTTCAGGTTTTTTCTTCGAAATCAGTGCCATTTATTAAAATATTTTATTTAAAGATAAAGGTTAATTGGTTACTTGGTAATTGGCAAATAATTGAATTAGGTCATTATATGAGTGTGAAATGCATGCAAGTCCATGTATGTCCAAATGTTGGTCTTAGAATCAATCTAGCACTGACAGGCCTCTCCGTTTTCTCAACCCCAGCTATTTTCAGTATGGCGGAAGATACAAGAAAATGCACGTCAGAGCTGTCGGAAATTCCAAGACGGAAATGAGTGATATTTTCTCCTTTTTCTACTAATTTAACGAAAGAGTAAATTGAAAATCAATTCCACTATTGTTTCCATCATCTAACAAATTTCAATATTTATCACTGGAAAAAATAAATAAGAAGCCTCAAAACATATAAAAATGATGTATTGCTATAATCTACTATCCATAGTGCGTAATTAATGGGAAGTAATGCGTTCTCGACAATCTATGGCCGGCGCTACACATTTGGAACGTACCGAACTTGTGATAACGGATTAACGGTTAATGGTTTGTACTGACAAGAAGTTACAACTTCTTGGTAGTGCGTAGCTCGTGACCACTTATTTTACGTCCGTGCCATGATATCGCAGCGTGAGGCGTAAATTCGGCGTTCCTCACAATTCCGAGGCTTGAATCGCAAACGTTTATTTATAAGCCCTGACTGCACAAGGCTTGATACCCTCTACCGGGGCAGAAGATTAATCATGTGCGTTTGTCTCCAGCGCGAGAATCGTGCCATGAGCCAAAGCCATATCTGGGAATATCTAGTGAAAAAACCAATCTGTGAGTCCGGTGAAGGGTACAGGCTTCAATAAAGCCAATCATTATCGCGGGTGCACGCAAGTTCAGTGTCTGTTGCGTTCCTGGCGTCCACTGAGCAACCAAAGACATAAGCCTGCTATAAACACTTTGTATGTTATTGATTTTGTCCCTGTATGTAAAAACTGGGTATAACTTCTATTTCTTAGTTTCATTCATTCTGTTCTTGCCAATAGTTATTGCTGGGATCTTCTTTCCATAATAAAACAAATATGATAACAATAAGGTACTGCTGGGGTATGTAAGCTCTTCTGTTCTGTTCGAAAAATCCACAGTGATAAAGACAAAGCCCACTTTAGGATTATGATCGAACGAAAGAATCTCTCATTTTTTTTGTAGGAATTTGATTGCTGTCTCTCAGAGCTCATCTAGCTGTTACAAAACTGTATACGTTTTAGTTCCATTAGGATACAAGTATGTAACAGCTAGAAGATCTCTGTTTTCACAACGCATGCTGTCACGCTGTAACAAAATCGAAGATGCAACACGTCTAAAGTAGCAATAACTGATTGAGGAAGACGTTCATTTCATTAAAAAGAGTTTGAACGAAAGTCCACCTAATAAACGGTTTGGCGTTAATTCTACGAAAAAAAAAAAAAAAAATATATATATATATATATATATATATATATATATATATATATATATATATATATATATATATAAAGGTCTGTCTGCGTATATTGCGCACTGATAAGGAACCACGGAAATATGGAAATATACAACAGTAATTTTTGAAATAAATGCCCAAATGATGGCCCTAAATATAAGATAAAATAGATATTGTAATCTCGCGGGATTTGTTTCCCCTTTGAATTCACATATTTATATAACATCTAAAATACAGACATCTTTATCCCCTCAATTAAAATATGATTTTAAAATTATTATAATTTTATTACATTTGAGGGACGTTACACCTGTGGATGGGAGATAAAGTAGCATCAAAACAAACTGTCTATTTTCACTTTTTTCTTTATATAAAATTAACTTCATCTTCAAAGAAGAATTCAACAATCAGTTTGGAATGCCTTTTCATGGCCACACAAATACCGTGCGTCTCTCAGACGCCCCTTCACATGCGAAAACGACATGCACTGTGTCTATTTCGTATGTTATTAAGCCCTAAAGCAGCAGAATTGACAAGGCCCATGCCTGATGCCGCATACGTCTTTTACTTCAGAGCTTTTGAGCCCCAAAAATGACATGGCTGTGTCTGTTTCGCCACTTACTAAACTCCATAGATGCGAGATTGACACGACTGCGAAAATCACACGAGCCATGTCTATTTCGTGTTTTATAACATGGCATTTAAAAGCATAAATTCCACAGTAAAAAACAAATGCGACATGGCACAAGGCAATCTTGCATTTATGGGAGCCAGCAAGTTACGAAATAAGCATGGTTATGTCAATTTCGTGTTTTATAAGATGCACAGTATAAGACAAATGCAGCGCGGGCCTGGTCAATTTCGCATCTATGGGTCTCAGTGAATCACGAACAAAACATGACCATGTAAATTTTGAGTTTTATAACATAGCCATTTGAAGCTCAAAAATCCACGATCAATGTACATCAACACGATCAGTTTATCAGCGTTATCAACTAACGACTTCTTTTCTGTCGTGTTTACCTGTCAAAATGGCTTCTTTTGACATGCAAGAATATGGAACTTTCTCCACTAATTGGTTTTATTACGACACTGCGGCACTAATTATCCTGAATAATTAGAATAGATACATTTATATCGCAGGCTGGTATATCTTCAAGAACGTCCTCAGGGCACTATTCAATGTGCCGCCATCCCTGTTTCCATCCCCGCATCTACCGAGAATCTCCGCATTAGCGTAATTCGAGCGAGATTTTAAGGGGTTTTAGGAGAAGTGGAGTCAGAAATGCTGGCAAGCTACCGGTAGTGAACTACAAGTGAGTGTGGTGCAGCAACGGATAAAACCTGACAAAAATCTTTAACGGGTATTTTTAGGGCTGTTTTCTCTTTTAGGAGAAATTGCAATCTATGTCACAACAGGGTGAATTTTGTATATTTTGTGTCTCTTGCATATTGTTTTCTAAGACGACATTCCCGGCGCTTAAGTTTCACCTTCGCCGCCTTTAAGTTCACCACACTTTACGTGGATTCTCGCATCTTATTTAGTGTAGAATGGCGGCAAACATCGACGGATGATTTCCATCACCAAAACTTACAAAAGTACAGATAATATCTGGTTAAAAAAACATTTTCACAATAGCGGGATGGGTATCGAATGCAGGCCACCAAGATCAGTTACGACGCCAGGCAACAACCCGAATTTGAAAATCACGATATACATGTTACATGTATGTACCCTAAAATGGTACCGCATAACCCAATCTCTAGGCGTCTGACTCTTCTCGTAACACTCGACCATGCCTCATAACAAATTTTAGCGAATCTACATATATCTTGCCATCCATGTTTCAAAACATGAAAGCTTATGGCACCTTTTGGTCGTGAGTAATAGTTTAATGTGCAATAAGGCAAAACATTAGGTAGCTTAAATTTGATACAACTCTTCTAACGCGTGAATAAGGTCAAAGTAATGGTAAAATATCACCTCGCCTTGAAACGCTGCCTTGGACATGTAGCTGGCGGAAAGTGTAACGTAGTCGTAACTAGTCGTAACTGGTAGTTTGTTTGCAATAAATTCCATTAATGCTACTGCTTCTACTAATGATCTGCAGGGAATTCCCTCAATTAGTTAGCATAAGTTACTAATTTAAAAGTGGAAGTGAGAACTCTTAACTGTCTTTAGATTAAAATTGCAAATAGAAGGACACTTGTCTGGATGGAAATGTAATAGTAACATGTGTACCAATCCTGTGATGCCGTATTCACTTCAGCACAGGGTCACAGGACAGAAATGCGTACAACTGGTATCTGGTAAACAAAATGCTGTCTGTAGCCCGGGTACAGGGGGGAGCTGTATTCCGGGTTCCCATGGCCCCTCATTTCTGTGAATGCATGTAGATTTTTAAAAAACCAACAAAAACGAAAATGACTGTATCGATGAGTATCTTATATATCTTTAATATATGTTGTTTTATTACTTTAAATTTGTAAGATGACTCTGTATACTAGTCACTTCTATGTTGATTAATTGTGCCGATCCACTACCAACCGCAATAAGAATTAACGCTTCGCTGAGAATAGTAACCCTAAGATACAGAGAAAAAATTGAAATCAAAATTTAGCTTTCCTGCTTCAATTACATAAACAGATTATATTGCAAGTTAATGAAAAGTTAGTTCGAACTACCTAGTACGACAGTTTGATTTTGAGCGCACCTAATGTTGAAACTAAAAACATCGGCAAGGTAACATTTCAGTGTAGAGTGGACGAGTTCGACAACAAAAATAAAGGCTCAATTTTGACAACAAATTGTACTTACAGTTTTGGCAGAGGTTGACAAACATGTCATTTGCGGTAGATTTTAATCGTTTATTAGCCTAATGTTCTAAACAGAATGAAAGAACGCATTTACTTACAGTATATTTTATGAATTTCTGATTAGTATCTGCTGGCACTTGAGTTTGATTTTAATCAGACTATAAAAAAAACCACCCATGATGACGGTAGCAGCTCAAATTACCGTACTACATGTACAATCCTGCCAAACCCTTTCTGGAGACTGCCACTGCCTTTGTTTGTCTAGATAGTTCACCCAGATATCGTAAGCACTCGACTTGCTTTCACCTTAGTACGTTCTACCTTGGACATAATAATTTTATGCCCAAGGTTCTACCGTGTATACTGACTGGAGTGCGTTGTGTACACGAGCACACGTGCTTTTAATTTCATGCTGGGGCTCACACAGATATTGCACCCCCATACCCCCCCACCCACCCACCACCCCCGCCTCCATCCATACGAAACTACTGGTAACTGTCACATGAACATATCCCTGCGTCAAACTCAGCCGGTGTAGACAAATGCAGTTGTCACCAGCAAGATTATAGGCTTACAAGTTGTGGTTTAGAATGCTGATATACAAAACAGCGTTATTTAAGTACCGGGTCCATGTCCTGTCTCCTCACACCCACTTCCTTCCCTACACTTCCTAAGCATCTAACTTCCAATATGTTAAATCCAAAATAAAATAACTTATTAAACTTCTAATATTTGGTTAAAATTAAATTATCATACCGCTCATTACTCAAGTTGTAATTTGATATAATAATTGTTGGACTACTTAAAACATAACCCGCACCAAAATTTGTTGCCAACATGTACATGAAGGTCTGCGAGGTTGTTGCTCCGTGGGCCGGTCACCGTTCAAGTATACAAGTACATGTACAGTACTGGTACAAGTGGTTACTGGGCGATAATAAACTCGATGTTATTTTCGATAAATCAAGATGTTAGAATGGTCATAAAAAGCTCACATTGCAACGAAAAGTAATCGTATTGTAATGTTATTATTTAGTTTTGAAAAGATAAGCCTTAGGGGGTATACTACTACTCATTTTAAGTAAAAAAATTCCTCTAGCACCCCATACAAAAAGTCATAGTCCAAGAATGCAGGAATGATGCATTTGTCACTTACATAATGCACACTTACATAATACACATGTTAGAGGAATTTCATATATATATATATATATATATATATATATATATATATATATATATATATATATATATATATATATATATATATATATATATATATATATATCGGACTTTTGTGTCTAAATTTAATCATTTTATCTCACCCTTCATTTTTTTGCAACCCGGAAATAATTCGACCTAACTAATACTGGCGTTCTTAGAACAGAAGGCTTTAAAAGCATATTTTCATGAGCTTGGCATGGCCAGAACTACATTTAGATCATAAAATAGATGGAACGGACACAAGCAAGCATTCTTGGCCATCCCAGTGTGGTGAGTTATCCCCGTAATTAGAGCGGAGATGAGCTGATATCCCGATTCACAAAGCATGTCATTTGGAGAGTTTAAGTAAAAGTCACGAACAATCTTTGTCTCAAACCTTTCCTGTGGAGCGCTGACGATGTGCATGTAAACATCAAGTTGCGATTCAATATAGGTGGGAAACATAAAGGATAAAAACTATCTCATTGTCAAGGTACTGTAAATGTTTTTCTCCTTTAACTTTTTCCCCTGTTTTGAATATCATGGTAGGGATACTTTTTCGGTCCTTTGCTTGACATTACTTCTTTTTTTAAGATATCATGTGAGCTGGTAGAAAATAAGAAAGAAATATGAGATTATACAGGGTAGTTACTCCTCCGTGTGGTCGCCATTAATACCATTCTGACCACAAACAATTGAACCCACTTTAGGGTGGCTTCTAGCGACTGAAAACATGCAATGAAAACCTTTTTGGCTTTTTAATCCCCGGAGTGGTTCATACTGTTGTATCATTGTTATTTTTGATTTAATATAAACAATTGTCCCTGAGAAACATGATTTATTGTGACAAATAGGTCCATGGGGCCGGGAGTATAGGCCTACCCATTGTCACAATAATAAAATAAGAACTTAAACATAGCAAGTAAAACAGTTCAGCTTTTGCAGATCAATCAATCAAATTTTCAGTTAAAGAGAAAATTGGATTGTTGCATTTCACAAGTAGGCCTGTGCTTTACTTTTAGCCCATTAAACAAGCCACCTAGATAGTTACACGGGGTACACTAAAACGAAACTTACATTTCAAGCTACTAATCAAGATTTTTGTGGCTAGCAAAAAAATAACGGGTGATCTGACTTTTTACCAGTCGCACAAATTAAAGGCCGATCCTTCAAAGAACGGAACTGATACCTGCACAAGTCATCAAACCGCGAAAAAAAAAAAGATCACAGGACACGACGGTTGAAGCAAAGAAAATGTATATCATGTTACTTCATGTAAGCTTAAACCAGTTGACATTTTTTACAAAATATTATGCACGTTCTTACAAAATGTAAAATGTTACATCACGCCATGCTGTTGCCGGGTGTCGTGTTTAGGCCAAACCGACACGATAAAACCTCAGCAGTGACAAAAGGGTAGGGAACCGACGATGTGACATTAGATTCGTCACGATATTGATTTAGACCTCAATAGAAAAGAAAACAGTTTTGTGGTTTTGGTCATTTTAAGGGCATACTGAAGGGGGTTTGATATGTAAGGATTTCTTCCTTCCCGTATAATGCGGAAATAGTATCATATAATGAGATAATGCTGTCATATCATATATCAGATTTATCAGGATGAATTTGCTAATTCGAACTGATGATATAACAGCAGCGTTTTTTTAACATGGTGAAATCGAATTCAAACAGACTTCTCTCACCTGAACAGCTATCAAAGCCGTTTCATCGCCTATCTAATCACAACAATAAGTCATACATTCCGGTGTCAGGAAATTTTCTTGAAAGGATTACTTCCGATTTTTTTTCAGAAAAGAGGCAAAACAATGTCTTTGATTGATTGAGCTTAGTTCCTAGGGGCTTATATCTCCTAAACAAAAATACAAAATAAATCTCTGTCACCGGATTGTAATTCACAGCCTTGCCAATTTCCATGATAATATTTTACTTAGGTACAGGGGTACCTTGGAAACCAATCACTATCTTACAAAAATGACAATTAAAGATTGGCCATCCCTTGTACAGAAGCGTGGGTGGTTGTGAATAATATAACAGCAATAGAGTTTTTGTTCTAAAAGTATCAACGTTTTTGCACCATTATTATTATTATTTAAGTATTTTACATAAAAGAAATGGGGGAAAAAGCTATTTTGCCAAATGTAGGTCTCCATAACGTATGGAACCCACTTAAACCTTGTACTGTGCAGCAACATGTTAACATTATGACAGAGGCTGCCCTGGTTTACAGTTGAAGTGAAAACTTATGTGTTAATACAAAACTGCAAAATAAATATGCTACTTAAATGTGCTATATGATTTAATGTAAAACATAAAGTCTTGAGATATAAGAGCAGAGAAAGGTAATCAGGTTCAGAAATTTGGTGAAACTTCCAAAATAAAAATATTGTAGTAATTTGTACTGAACTTATAATTCTGATTCAGATGAGAATAATGTATACTTCCAGCTAAAAAAAACACAATTTCGATATTATTTATTGCTTCTTAATTTATTTATTTATATTTCATGTTAGATGCGGTTTATCTATATCACCGCCCTGATGGTCCTGTCTACACTAACCTATAGCTATGTCACGACACAAGCGACATCAGCCACGGAGAACTTACGCAATCTTCTCAATAAACGGATTCCGGTGTCAAACAGATATCCGCCAACTACCACAGGGACAGAAACTAGGGAAGACCTAGTGGCCGTCTCGAGCAATTCCTGTCCGGTAACAACCTGTAGTGCTGATGGTGGTGCTCAGAAAGTCTCTGATCTGGAGGCTTTATTGCCTGGATTCTTTCAGACAAGAAGACAACTTGAGAGATACAGCAAAACCAATGGTATCTCTCGAAGTCTGTTCAGGTCCTATGAAGAAGCCAATGAAGCGCTGAAAAGCAACACGGCCCATATCAGTAAAAGAGCCGTGCAGAGCGAGGACACGTGTTGTCCAGCGTAAGTTGACATAATTTGAAAAGCGATATGTATTTTGGTTAATATATATAGGAGGCGGGCATAAATATTGCAACACGTAAAACCCCCTTTACACTGGACAGCGTCCATTCTGCGTCCTTTGTTCGACCATGCATCTGGCATCGCTGTGGTCGTAGGAATAGGCACAAGCATTGCTTTGGTTGATGAATGAATCCTCAATGATCGGCGAGTTGGCGACACGTAAAGTATTGCTTTTTAATCTCAAACGGGACGGGACCGTCCAGTGTAAAGGGGCCTTAAAAGTAACAGTTGATAGTTTCCATTACTACACATTACACCATTTCAATCTTTACTGATTGGAATAGAAATCAACACTTGTTGAGATGCTTGAAAATATACATACATCTCAAAGGTACATGTAATCGTCACGATAATGCCAATATTGTTTGTTAGAAATTTTTATTACAAAATTGTATAAGGAATAAGGATGGAGTTGCTGCAAGTAAGCGGTCACCCAAACAGATAAAATAAATATCAATACAGTGTGCTTTAATATACTGTATCATGTATTTTTGCTCAAATTCTCTAAATTTTTTAATTCTTTTCAGCTATGAATTTTACTTGGCCCCGTCGACACTCGTGCTCAAAAGCGGCATTACAATATACCCGGTACAAGACGTCAGCGGCGGAAATTATCAAGTCCTCTCCATAGCACACTGCCAGTGAGTTCTTTTTTAAGCTGCCGTACATGGAGTCAGATGTGTCTCAGTCAGAATCGATATTAAACAATTCAGTAGATAGTGTAAGGGGAAATACTAATCCCCGTGTGATGAAAAATTACTTAATATAATACGATGGGTAACCTTTAAGTAAAGCCTAACCGTCTTCTTCTTCTTCTGATCTGTAAGTTGTTTTATAATCAGTAATGCAGCTGAAGAATAGTTAGAGTGGTGATAACTTTATACATACCTACATATATAATGTGACCGTGGCGATATATTCTTCTTCGAGTTTTTTATTTTTCGTTGAAATGCGAGAACTTTTGTATTTCAAATATATGCAATGTCACCCATTTCGCTGACGCTCGAGGTGTTATGGCATATATCGCTCGGGTGACAGTGTATTTTCTCACACGTAACTGTGGATGATCTAGTTTGATAAATATTTCTGAATCATTATTGAGTTTGGGCAGATCATAACTGTCTGTTTCAAATCATTTGTGCTTTTGAAAAATTCCTTTTGAAAACCTCCTAATGTAAAGTGTAAACTACAATAAAACGATATTATAACTGTATCTATGACTGCTTAAGAGGAGATAAGGTCACTCAAAATCATTCTACCTCAGTGTTATTTTTCCAATCTACACAACAGTGTTTTAAAATGAATTTCCATTTGATAAATCATCTCTATTATTTTACTCTAGCAACGAGCCTGGGGGTTGCAGCGGCACGTGCCAGAATACCACCTCCACCCAGCCTCTCCTCGTGCACTGTGTCTGGCCAGTGGTTTGTCAGAGTGGATGCAGCACTACGTTCTATCACGCGGAACTCGACTCCGGGTGCATTTGTGTAGAGTGATGACAGGGTCAAACATTATTTTAACACTAGACGCCGACAGAAAAATATTTTTTCTATCGCAGGTAGATCGCTTGGACAGGCACGCGGCACGTTTAATCAAGCATATATTTTTTGACGACGTTGTTTGAACTTCTTTATGTACTGACAAAACGTTACCTTTATGACTCCTCACACAAGTCTTTAATTCTTCGTTTATTTCTGCTTCCTCATAGAAGATTTGGCAAATATTAAGAGGAGTGTGTGAAGAGATTGTCCTTGTTATTGACGACGTCAGTTTAGCTGAAATCTCACAGAATGGTTGAAAAAATAATAAAATATTCTTGAATTGTCTTTTATGATTAAGTTCTTCCTCTTATTGTAAGTACTGCATTTATAGTGACATTAAAAATGTCTAATCCCTGTTTTGTTTTTTAATAACAGATCATACACATTGTGAATATTCAGCACACAGAGTAGGAGATATCCTAATTAAAGTTCAGTGGTTTGTTTCCAGTTATTATTGATTCATGCTCCTGAATATTTGATTTTATCTTGCTTGTATTTGTTCGACAAAAATCAACTGAACAGAATTAAATTGACTTGTATGAAGTATTCGTTTTCTCTTTATTTCATTAGATGATGACAATAAATTTACTGCATTAACTGATCGCTCCAGTTTATCGTGCCTATTTATTTATTGATTTATTCGTATCTTCCTATGGTGGTATGGAGATGGTAGTCAGACGAGAGATAATGAACAATGAAACTGTCTCTGCTTCAATCGCGCACACAATCACGCAAGGCTTGCTCAGTTTCGGCTAGGGTAGTGTTAGTGGTTGGTAATGACTAGATATGTAGGCACTCAGATTCACTGAAAATTTATTGTTCCAAATTCCAAAGCAGAAGCTTTCTGGGAATTTAGTACTCAATGATTGGAGCTGCTTGTTATCTGCATCTGCGTGTTAACGTGTTAAATCACACCATTGAAATAATTGTTATCGGAAGTAACACTACACTGTATGTGGCAAAATATGTTATCCGGCTGTCTGAGCTCTGAAAATTGTCAGCATTGTAAAGAGCCCCAAAATGCACTTCAAATCAAATGACATTTAATTTTTTTTTTCGACAGTGAATAACATGACAATAAGTTCAGAATGTGTCTCGCGCGTAAAAATCAAAGGGAAACGTATTATCGATTGTCTCTTTGTCTTGATTAATGTTACCAACATCTCACACTTTTAATGAGACAACCATTGCTTTCTGCTCTCTTCCTAATGCTGAGGGTGTTCTTAGAGCAATGAAACGGAACACTATACATCACCGTACTTGTTTTAACGCCAAACAGATTTAATGTATAAAGACCATTTGTCTGTCTGTCTGTCTGCCTGTTTGTCTTCACATGCACATAGTCTGTTGTCATGTTATATGTAGGACGCCTATTTGTCCGAGCTGGCCCGCTGACTGAATATCTGTGTGGACAAAAAGAAATTCGGTCTTCTTTACCTCCGCCAAGGATATATGTTTTTCCTCCATTTGTCTGTCTTTCTGTCTGTCTACTTGTTCTTCACCAGCTTACTAAAAAAAGTCATAGATGGATTTTGATGAAATTTTCAGGATAGGTCTCAGATGAAGAAACTTTTAAGTTTTAAAAAAGTGAATACATTTTGGTGGTGATCCGTATCACCATCCTTCCTATTTATATCAGTAAAACGCGACATTGCACAGTCCCCGTCTGCGTGTTTTTTCTCTATCCGTCCTGTAACATATGGACTGTGACCTCCAGCCCTCTGACTTTTCATGGATATTGAATACTCAGTCGAGATTGATGCAACGTGCGTTACTTTTAAAAATTTATAATCTGCACATATCGACTAAAGAATAATTTGCTAGTTTTGATGATTATGTGATTTTGGTATGGCGAGAGCGGTAGTTATCATATTCTTGCTGCGGTTTTGATGGTACGAAAACACAATCATTAAAGTGGGGAAAGTAAAGTGCCAATCTTTCCCATTTGCAACTTCCGCCCACTGCAATAGGTCAACATGACCGTACTTAACCTTTTCTCTGCCCACAGACTGCGCTGGTTGTCTGTTACAAAATGATTGTATGGGACTCTGTGCTGAGCCAGTGTTTAAGGGGCGGCCATGGACGGGGTAGTTACATAACACCAGGCAGTCAAATGGATGTTTTCAACATGAGCTTATTATTTAATTTTGCGTAATATTTTAGAAGCCCCTGATATCAGATGGTATACTTGTATGCCACTTATGCATCAATTAAATACATACCAAGAGATGTTATTATACACGGTCTATTCTTTTTAGGTGTTTTTTTCGGTGAAATGTGAGTACTTTCTGTCGGTGGACATGTCAAATAATACACTTTTTCGCGATTTATGACTTGAACATATATCATTGACGCTCGCAGCATTCTGGCGTATGTCGCTGAGGTGACAGTGTATTATCTGAAACATAGCTTGACTCTTTATCTACGAGCTGACAAATTAATAATGAATAATAATGAGATGCGAGTTGCCTTGGTCTCTGAGAGGTTCTTATAGTTGGTTTTTAAAAGGACCAATTGTTTAATCATTGTTCAAGAAAGAGAAGGGCTCATACAAGTTGGCATGGACTCTGTCCCTAAGCATTGGAAAGAGATTACAAAATATTAAAGTAGAACTCGAAGTCCAATCACGATAAAACTAGGATGTTTTAAAGGTTAATTGCCAAGGAACGTGTAGATCAAAACACATTCCAAAGACTCCCAGAATCCCAGTGAGGGGGATTTTAACAATTTGGTGTTTTGCGGGTCATCTTCAACAGGATATTGAGAAATATTTCGTAGTCCTTCCCCAGCTATACCATGTCCTGAGGATATGGTTTAAACTTCTCCAAGGGCTGAAAACCTTGAAAGCAACAATTACATTTTACCCCCTAAACGCTATTAAAACGTTAACCTCGAGGTCGTTAAACAGGAAAGTTCTATCTATGAACCTTCAATTATTTCTATGTATTAGCAATTTTGCACAATTCTTAGCCCCCAGACTGCTCTCAATGCGCCTCTAAAGTCATAAATATCATATCTTTCAATTTATCAGAGATGATTGTGGAAATGAACCTATGATATAAGACATAAAACGGCACTTTAACGTGATTCTAGGAAAACCCTGGAAATAATGGCAGTATTTTTTTCGTGTCTTGTGAAAAATAGTGTTTATCACCGGATATTCCCTCATCTCAAAATGGCAAAAGAAAATCACAGAGATTTGCACTAGGTCGTAAATGACATAAGTGAAATATTTCCATGGCAACGACACTTTCTCACAATCGCCGCCTCATTATCAGGCTGCACGCTACGGACTGCAGACTCATATAAACGGCCGCAAAAGCCAATAACATAGACAGTAACGATGCCGGGGCTCTGGGAACTGACTGGCTTGGAGCGAGGTATTCTAGGCTGCCTGTACGTTATTGCAGGTGAGTAACAATCTTATGAAAATGATGTAGTTGAATGGTTTTGCACTATTCGTGTTTTCTGCAAAAACACCGCGGCGAAGATTACCGCCTAGATCAAATGGTTTGACGCCAATTGCGTTATACCTGCATTCTACCTATCTATATGTTAACTTAGGGGAACCAACTGACAGGACTGTATCCAGTTATTGGAACGATGCTGATGGATGCATTAAAGCGAAGCTTAACCTCTTACACGTTACATTGTGATCTAGTAACTGTACGAAATACCACTGCAGGCCTTCAGATCTTATTTGATCGTATAGTCTAGAGCAAACACTGAAGTTGAGAATGCGTTTTTATCAGTGTGTCAATAGTGTGTTTGTGTGTGTTTGTGTGTGTGTGCGTACGCGTGTGTGTATGCTGGTGTGTTTGAACTCAATGTGCGTCAATTAATTATTATAAATATAGGAATCTGATTTCATATTCCATATACAAAAACGAACCACAGTATAATTGAATAACACAGTGGCTGTTTCAATCTGGTTCTGAATCATGCAAGAGACGATACGACTGGCGGAGCTGATTTCAAATCTTGTTTGCCTGATTAAGATTCCTCGGATTGAATGACACCTTTTACATAAAGTGCGGAGTGATGATTAATTGCTTTATCTTGTACACTGTATATGCTTTGGAGCTACTCACATTTTCTATTCACAGGTATTTTTGGGACTACTGGGAATCTCTTGACTCTCGTGACATGGGGCCGAGGACTCCAGGAATTGGGATGCCGTGCCTGGTTGCACATGAATTTTGCTCTGTCCAACATACTTATTGTTGTCGTATTTTTCTTTCCGGCTTCATCTGCATTCGCTGGAAGGTAAGATTTTATTTTTATAAAAATTATAATAAGACATTTAAAGGTTATATTATCCCATTTTTTTCTTCAAGTGGCAGTTTCAGGAGATCGAAAGAGTATCATATTACTTCTTATCTCGCACTGAGCGACGCACTTTCGTCAAACGGAATCAATTTAGCATTCAAAGTGTTTCTCTGAGGAAATTAGAAACAGCACCTGATTGTCAGAATGCCACTTGTTGTGTATGTGATTGACCGCTTTGAATGCATAGCCCCCAGGTGCCTGCGCTGTTCTGCTGCAAAACACCTTCCATACTTCTCAAAACCTCTCAAAACCGGAGGATAAAAGGTTTGGGTTCTTTCCTTACTGCATGTCTGTGCTCTTATGCCAAGTTTATGGTACCAAGGAGCCGTTATTTTACGTAATGTGCAGTAAACCTTTCTGATTAATATTAACTATTACGATGAATGATATAATTCGGGAATGAAACTATAACTGTTTAAGGATTACAGGATTGAAATACAGGTGGATAAAAGGTGGATAATAACTTCAGATTTTAATATTATAAAAATCAAAGAATTCTACTACATGTCAGTGCCTCTGCCACTTGAAGTTGGCCTATTTGTCGTTTATTAAGTGGTGAGTTTCACGTAATTTATATTTATTTATTTATTTATTTATTTATTTATTTATTTATTGGCGGAATAATTTAAGAATATATTTTTGTGTAGTGAAGCCACTTAAATAGCATTTTAAGTGTATTACCCAGTATATTACAGTCCGCCTGAAATGAATGCACGGTTAGATACACGGCGGTCCACGAACAAGGCGAAGTGACCTTTAGCCTAACCCGGTTACGCTGTACAGTTTGCTATTTGTACGTTACTGTATAGGAACTATATAAATAACTGATTGCTTACACTTATCGTATAAAGCTAAGTAACTCTTTTCTTTGGCCAGGAATATCTATCAAATCAACAATCCTGGTGGTTTCAATCCTTCCATTTACATGGCTAAAACTCAAATTTTACAGTTTTTATAAAATGAAAATCTAATCGCCTGATCATATTTCAAAGATTGACGTTGATACACATTAATCAGCTTATTTTATTTTTGATTTTATGTACATCCTGTATAAATTTATTTTCTAAATTTTCAGCATTGAAATGACTTAAAAGCAGTTTTGTTACTTGAAGGTTATCTAGAATTTGGAAAATCGGTTGTCTAATCCTGTCGCAACCGTTCCTTTTCGACAAAAAATTCTGCCGAGATAGACACTCTCTGCCTTGAGGAGCTGTTTTAGGCCATCTTTCTGAAATCTAAACATCTTCTTACAAATATTGTTTATATCTATAATCAAATTCAACACTTGATGCTCTAACTATTTATAATATTTCTCCTCCTATAACTTTCATATCTGTGTTTGACGACATTTTGGTTTATGGGTTACTTACATGACCACATTTGCATACAAATGCAAATACGTTTTGGGGGCCACAATTTGTTGTTTTTATTTTCAGCATTAAGAGGCCATGTGGATAAAAATGTATCTAAATATCGAATTAAAATTTTGTAATGAAAAAAAGTTTTTTACTAGATGGCTGTATGGTGAGGTTGCCTGCCAGTCGTACGGGTTTGAAGGCATGATCGCTGGCATGGGCCAAATAGGAGCTTTGACGGCCCTAGCATGGGGACAGGCAAATGGTAAGTTCTTTCCATTGCTCTTGTTAATCTCGTCTTATCCTTGCAAATGTAAGTCAGAACTGGCTTATGGTTAAGGAAGCCTATTTGATTTCCCAATTGCCGGTAGACGTTTGCTTATGACATTTTTTTTCTCGTGATAATTTTCTGAGTAGTTATGCCACACTTTCATTCTCTTACTTCAGTTGATGCTGATGCCGACTCTCGTAAGAGATCCATCTTATTTGGCTGGCTCTTTGCATCTGTGTGGGCAATTGGTCCTTTGATTGGATGGAGCAGGTAAAGACGGTTTTTGCTTTAAAGGTTTTTTTCAACATTTAAAAGCCGCAGACCACACTAAACCCATATCATCCACAATAACCATTTATCCCACCGCATGGAAAACCACACAAGATGATTGCTATTCTGAATACTTCTTATTTACCTTGCAGCTATGGCATAGAAGCAGGTGGTGTTTCTTGCACTTTTAACTGGCAGGTGGTAAATGTGTCTTATGTCACCTATGCCGTGATGATTTGGGCATTTGGCTTTGTCATTCCCTACTTCTTGTCCATCAACTGGGTCAAGAGCACTGCTTGTATCCCAAAGCAAAAACTTGATCCCAAAGATTGGTCCAATTACCCGGAGATAAACACGGTGAGTGGGGGGTCACCGTGCGGGCCGGCAAAGTATTGGTATTTATGCAATGCGCGATGAAGAAGGCTGAAGTTTTGAATTATGTTTACATTTATATACTATAGCTTAATAGTTTAGATTTCATATTATATCATTCTTCGTATTCTGGACTCGTACAAAAATTAGCTTATGTTAATAAAGTCCTTCTATTTACCCATTTCTTCCTTTCACTTTCTATGAATCTCTTGTAGGTAATTGGTTGGTGTATATTCGTGTCAATCATTGCTTGGATTCCATACGGTCTGGCGGCAGCCTGGCCATTGTTTGCCAGCATTGAGACCGTGCCGAAAATAGTTGGGGTCTATGCTCCCGTGTCGGCCAAGCTGGGAACCTGTTTCTATCCGTGGATCCATATTTGGCACAGTGCTCGCTTCCGCCAAACGGTGTCAAGCCTCCTTTTTGGAACCACTAGTAGCGCCTCCACCGCGGAAAAAGAAAATTAATCGAAAATTCAAAGTGCATTAGATACGTCGTTTTTTAAGTGACGACCACGTTTATTTTATTTTTTATGTGCGTGTCTTTCTAATTCAGCAGTTGTTGTAAATCGGAAAATCCCAATCATTTAGGACACAAAATTTTGTTATAAAGCTTATCTTTAGTCAGTGTACTTTGAATTCTGCATTTGTATACGGAAGAATTTGCGAAATGTGCCGTCATATTCTTTATTTCAAGTGTTCTTTAAGTATGTATAGTTTTCGTCTCAGGTACATTCTTATATTTGACCAACGTGGTAATGAGATACACACTGAGGAGTGATACATCGTGCGACGAGTCATGTCTTACCATCTCAGTAACAGAACATTCAGCCTTTATTGCCACCAAGTGCAGATGTGAGAGGTTTTTAAACAACAGGAAGGTTATACCGATTACCTGATAATGCCACAAAACATTGCACTCATGGTGATTTGTAAAATGATGCCTTATATATGCTTTTCATGCTTTTTTATTATGTAATTGATGTCACTGCCTTACACTAGTATTATATTTAACGAAGTTCGAACTTTTATTAATAGTTTTGTAAGCGAAAAGCCCATGCATCTCAATTGGTGCCCGTCCATTGTGTATCAAGTGTGGCAAAAGCCTTTATTGAACTTTTTTTTCTTTTTTGAGTTAGCCTCACTTATAGCTTTTATTGTCATTATTGGGGACCACCTGACAGTTGAATCCCATGGCAGCATACGGGGATCACCTGTTGACTGAGTGAGCCTTTCGCATTCAATCACACCTAAACTGATTTTTTTCCAAATAAAAGGAAGGAGTTATACTGTATAACTCTTTGATAAAGGTCACGCGCCTTTTGGACTGTCCGCTACATATGGTTAGTGCAAATTTGGTGCAGTGCATGTTGTTGAACGGACTCCAACCCAGTGAGATATTAAGAGACATTAGTGGGTGCTATAACGGCCATCTAAGCAGGAAAGAAAAAACAAATTCAGATCTCTCACGCAATACACCCAATTACCTTTCTCATGAATTACCGGTCAACAGCTGCATCCCTTGTGGCAGCTCCAGTTAAATAGTCTAGTCTTAGAGCATGCATAAGACACCAATTTGTTCTGACGTGATTAAAACTCAGTGATTTTTTTCCAAATGATAATTCTTCTGGAATTCTGTCACGTGTTAGGCGTTGCTTCAAAGCAAAATCTGTGTTATTTCAATGTGTCAAATAAAAGTATTAAAAAAGTAAGACTTTTTATTTACAAAGTACACAGAGCAACTAAACTCTGTCCAACTTAAATTTTCCTCACAGGACCAACAAGAGCTTTGTACAGTTACGAGCTAGCGCCACCTATTCTTGAGTTGTATATGTAACGTTAATTTTCATCATAATTTAATTTCATTTTATTATCATTATTATGTATTTCATTCATAATTTTAAAACACCCCATCCATAAGGGCCATATGTTATTCTTAGGTATAGATTGTAGTTCAGGCAGTCAACTCCAAATGGATTCTTTTCACACCATCAACTTGACAGTAAATCACCCTTGGGAATGTTAACGAGTACGGAGTAGCTTCAGTGTGTGATTTGAGGCGATATTTACGGATATGTGAACAAGCCGATATTTTGACAAACACCACCAGTTAACCGGAAAAGATTGAAAAACTGATAAACACTATCTGGGTTGAATTTTTATCTACTACAACAATATAATTCATAAGGTGAAATGTTTTATGTTTCTTTAATTTGATGATTCATATAATTTTGAATCTTACTTCCATGTGCTGGATAAAAGCTTTTTTTTTTTAATAACCTTTGCTTCCTTTACACACTTTTAATTCTATTTTATAATTGCGTTTTTGTCCAGTTCTCATTTTTTGCCAAACACTTTAAACGTTCTTAATGTATACCAGCTTTACACGGATCTTGCATTGACAACGCGCCGGAAAATGAAGTCGTGATCAAGGAAATCAAGCATGTAAGGAGAGCACATGCGATGTGACGATGAAATGGAAAGAAGTATGGGTGCCATGCACAAACCTGTCATGGTAATTCTGCGTGGTGTCGAATATGTTCTCAAAATGCGTGCAAACGGCAACAGGAATTTGATTTTTACTCGAGTCGGAATAAATTAAGACAATCTTTGTAGAACCGCAGCAATGATAATAAAATATTTTTGTTTTCGTAACTCAACCGGTTTATGCCATACAATATAAATGTAATTTGTGAGCCGAATAAGTGTAGGAAAGTAAAGGGATTTCCTGTCCATACTATGTTATTATTTTTAAAAAACGGCGTCGGAAAGAGTAAACTAGAATGTGACTTATGCCCTTTGTAAAGCAATTACCGGTCGATCCCATCCATAAATCATCATAGGTAACCGCAAGGTGACACACTCTTTTCCTTTAAGAGCCACTTAAAACTTTTTCTATGCAACAAAGAACGCTTCTCGCACACTTCCTCATAGGTGTTTACTGTGGACCTGATCAAAGAGTAGTCGAAAAGTTAAAAAGTTCAGAATGAAATGCTGGCTCCTAGATAGCTGTTCTGTCATTTTTGTGATATTTGTTTTCTCCGAAGTCATATCCAGTGTGGCGAGGGGAGAAAATTGCAAGAGCTCCGATCTAAAAACACAAAGCGTATGTTTTGGAGGGCTTTTTTGTAGAAACTTCATCAAGACAGACGCCTTGAACTTTGCAAAGGGGCTTCTCAAAACCCCTGTTGAAATTGCCAGTATGGACAGACTAGCTGGTCGTCGGCCAAGGCCAATACTATTCAATCGTTACCGAGTGCTAGGAACATTGCAAAGGTTCTTTTTGGCACTTTTTACACCAGAAAAATCGTCAAGCATTCTGAATCTGGATGGAAATAAATGCTGTACCGGGTAAATAATTTATTTATTTATTTGCTTTAATGTTTAAGTTTTACTCTGTGCAAGATGAAACGATGCCATTTATATTAAATCGTTAAATGTAGCGTAAGAAATATGCATTAGCAACAATAAAGTCAGGCAAAGACCATACATGTGGAAAAACGCTAATTTCCATGACAAGGGAGATTCAGACATTGGTGCATTGCTGACTGTACCTGCTAACTATGGCAGCCGTTTGCTTTCATTATCAGTGTTAGTGTGCCAATCGCTTCATCTGTGGTGAGAAAGGGCCTTCCAATAGCTGGTAGAAAATCACTTTTTCATTTAAAACATTACGACTGATTAAAAATAAATCATTAATTCAAGGGTTGGATTTTTTAAATATTATAAATATTTCAGAACGAAATATGAAAAAAAAACAATAACCAAGCTGCTATGAATAAATTCATTTTTCTAGGATTTCATTTTACTACTGCCCGAATGCTGACTTCGACACCTACACAGAAACCGTCGATGGGCAGTCATTGATATGGGAACCAGTCCAGTTAGGAGACTGTGCCAACCCGAAACCTGAAGATATGCTTCAAGTGCTACCAGTTAAAGCGTGTCTGTAAGTGAAATATATCCTCCTCATTTTCATCTTAAACATTATAGTTCGCAGAAAAGAGATTAATCTTATTGTGTTGTGGTAGGGATAAACACGAATTAACAAGTTGTCAAACAAATGTTCACAATCTACTTTCTCATTATCAGGCATGAAAACGCAAACTGCAATGACTGGAAATGTGAAGCGGAATACAGAAGTTTCAATGTACTTATGGAATGCAAGAGTCCCAATTGCCCGTGCAGTGCGCCAACCGTGCAGTATAAACCCATATCACTGTCAACAGCATGTCTGTGTAAAAACACATAAATTAAATACAAAATGAATGGAAAGTAAAAGAATATTCATGTCCTCGGTCAAAACATCATAAGCTGTCACCATCAAGTTTGACAATGATTGATGGCCTTTTGTTAAAATGAATATATTGAGGTGAATACTTAGCTGGGCCGGTCCACTGTGACAGATTGACAACTTAATAGCTTAACTATTAATTAAGATAGTCACCTTAACGGGGCCCCCGCGATCGACACGAGCATTTGATTGACCTTATTAAACTGCATGAAGCCAACCTGTGTAGACATCGTGAACGTAAGACATGTTAAGACCTCACCAAGTAGATGATATGAAGTGGACCACTCGCCGTCAAAAGGGCCTACGTGTCCATGCTCATATTGTACCCTACGTGCGTAAATTCCAAATGGGACGCTACGTCATGTGCGTGCGTTCGTGCTCCTAGTCTTTTAGTCAGTGCCATATTTTTTCTATTTAAAATCAGTAAAATACCAGTCCTGAAACCCAGATATTATTCGTAGCGTGATTTCAACACTAATAATAGATGTGAGTTCATCATATTTAAAACAGGATATTAATGCATTAATCTAGGGCTTTATCTGTTTTCCTTTGAAATATGCAGTAAAATGTTATAAATAGCAGGTGTCACGACGACGCATAATTTGGTAAAGGGAAGGATACGGTGCACGGCCACTACAAAGAAAACTAAATAAATATTTAAAAGTACTAATGTTGATATTCTTTATTCATACCTTTTCACCAGACTGAGCTGGTAAAGACGTACGGAAAATAATAATAACAATAATAATAATTTAAACTGCACTTTACATGCGTTTCTGTAAATATTTTAACGTTCAAACCTTTAAGCTAAAAGTAAAAACAACTTAAAACCTTGAATAAAAGAAACACCTTAATTTAATGGGGAAATTATACTTAAATAACAAGACACGCATTAAAAGTCTGTGAAGCTGACTTTTATGATTGAAGAAAAATCAGTCGAAATCTACCATTTTGTGTCACTGGCTTCAATCTTCTTGGACTCAATTTACTTGGACAATGTTACCCGAGTTGATTTTTGATTTTTGTTTAGTTTAAGATATGTCATCGATTATTCTCTTAAAAAATACCATTGCGTCTTGTAACGATGACAAATAACAGAGTCTATCTATAACGAAATATTGGAAAATTCTCGCATATTTCTTAAAAGTATACAAAGAAAAACTTTACCACAAAACCCAGCCAACTTATGTGACATTTCAGACAGAAATGGGAAAGAAGGGAATCCTTTAACCCTATGGCTGCACACCAAATATAAGTGACCAACACACTGCCCAGGCGGATACGGCTGTTACGACTACTAAAAGATGAAATGTGCACATATGTTGAAATAAAAAGTGCATGTTGTTTAAATGTTGTTTTATATTAGGTTTTGTTATTATTTTTTGCATACTATACCACAACGCCTTTATGCCTACCATTCCTATAACGTTATTACTATTACATCAATGAAAAAACAGATATGGGGGTTAAATATTTCAAATTAAAATACTTTGAAAAGGGGGTACATAAGTGCACAAGTCCATGGAATTGGTTAACGATACCAGTGATACTGGATTGTGTGGTTATTAGCTCTTGCATTGATTTAAATAACCGCAAATGTTAAGACAGTTGTCCTTGAGATTGCTATACCGTCAGCACTAACACAATAGTGCCTGCTCATATTTTTTATCGCAAAACCTAAGCCATTTATACTCAATGGCGGTTTTTCGGCTATTTCATTACAGTCTAGCCAAGTACAGCAATATAAGATATTTTGGATTGTTCATATATACAATACCAGTGTTCAGCTCGAGAGGATATAACAATCACCTTGTTCATGAGTCAATCATCACTCGGTTGGTTTACTTTTCATGTTATATTCACCATGCCTGCGTGATTTGTTCATAAATACATTTGACAAAAGAATTTAATGGATATAATTCAAATACAAGAGGATTGGCAAAATGAATATGTGTCTTCCTCTGTAATAGATTTACATACTACTACAGGCTACTATATTGTGTCTACTACTTCAGACCTTGGACATAATAACGAATATTCGTCATTATGTCCAAGTTCAGACCATGTGCGTAGTAAGCAAGTTTCAAATGTTCAGTAGCGGGAGTTAAATATTCAGAAAAAGGTATAAATAGCGACAAAGGGAGCTGGATAACAGCAAAAATTATGCACTTGAAGTTTGTCATCGGTTGGCTGGGGTCTCGATCGATAATGCAATATATTTATGACTGTTTTAAATGTGTCTGCTGATTAACTCAAGAAGTGGACAAGGCCCCTTACTATTAGGCTTCATTCCACAAGAACATGCACGGAAAAAAAAGGCCACATCATATATCGACAGCTATAACTGTTATAAGTGGTGTAGCAGTCAGTACTTTGTTTGATCACCTTTATTGGTAAATTATAAGTGATCCAAAACTCCTTGTTCTTTATTATACTACATGTACGGTAATGATTCCATCTTTAGCCATCTTTCATAATTTTGAAATCGTTAAAAATATATTTCTCTGTAGCAGTTGTGGTGATTTTATCATAGAATATAAGTGTAGAATAGTATTATAAAATACCCTGCTTTTCAGTTTTCTTGCTAACACTCAATAAGAATATGCAGATCAAAAATTTTTTAGACTTTTAGACTTAGAAATACAGTATCTGTAAAATTCACAATTTCCCTTTTGAAGAGATTGAGTCGTCACCGCAATGCAGATTCACCGTTTAAACTTTTTTTATAATCGTGTAAGATTAATTTGAAGTATATATATATATATATATATATATATATATATATATATATATATATATATATATATATATGCAGCGGGTTCATTTGAAGTTCTAATACACTCTTTCTAACAAGAGACTGACATTCTACGTTTAGACTGTCATTAACTATAGTTAACTATAGAGGGGAACTAAAGGGAAAAGTAACTGCTGGCGTTTGTAGGCAAGCTCTGATAACAAAAATGAAAAATGTTTGCCATATGCTAGAGCCCATTTGATCGTAAGAATCGGTTCCAACATGCCACTGCCCCACTTCACGTCGCTCACCTAACATAATTCCTCAGAGAGACAGCATCTGGACAGACCTGCTGCTTTACCCGATTTGAAGATGATAGAGCACTGCTGAGACACAGGAGATCAGGCTGTAGGAAAGAGAGGTCGCACCACGCTTCTGTCTTGGACTGGGTTGATCTCAGCCAGAGATAGAACTAGTTTATGCAGAACACTGAAGGCTAGAAGTCATCCGAGTTCCTATAAAGTACAGGAGAACTTAACTCTATGCAGAAATTCTTTATCGAATGACATAGACTTTGCGGTTATGTTTAAGAGAGTTATATAGCTTTAAATTCATTCAACTGCATGGACCAAAGACTGCCCCCCCTTTCTTGTCGTCTGCGTTGATAAAGTACCCAGTCCTTTTTGGACATATGTTCCAACACGTCATAGTAAGGAGAACGGTAAAGAAAAACAGGAAAACGCATAGCCCAGCCACGATCAAGTTTTTTTAAAAATAAAATATACTCTTCAAGAACCCTCCCCCTTTGAAGAACGGACAGAGAAGAGTTCTAAACTTCGCCCTTAACCCCCTTACATTTTAGCAATGCCAACACAAAACAAAGATATTTGATCGAGTGAATGTACGCCACTAAATGAGGTGACCAGTCCATCTAGGTCATTACCTAGTGAAAGGTTTCAGGGTGAGACAGCAACGTTGGCTTGTCGTTAAACGCAAGCTGCAAAATCCGATTGATGCATATTCCTGTCAATAATATCTGAGAGTAGAAGTTCAAATAAACAAACAGATAAACACATGCGTTTTAAAAGCATAGCATTTTATCTTAGGTTGAAAGCCTTGCAGTGAACAGTAAAAAGCACTGGAATAAAGATTAAAAAGAGACTTAATAACCCGAAACAATTTCACCAGAATTAAGGTTAAATGTTGTTGCAACTGCATGTGTACCTCTTATATTGAGACTGCACGGAAGAGATTTGAAGCTCATGTGTTTATTTCTGTGTTTCTCTAACGATATTCGATTTCAACAAAGTTACTTTTGTGACAGTTGTTGAAGAGAAGAAAAATCGGCTCAAGTCTGCTGTCCTGGATATCAAAACAACCCTTTCTTCTCCTTTCAGACTATGGTCTATTATCTGTGACTCCAATTTTCCATGCCCCCGAACCATGTCCCCGATTTGAAGACATTTTGATGTTCGCATATGTGTCATACGGCAGAGTAAGTCAAAAGTCAAATAAACTGAATGTAAAGCAACGTACTGTATGCATTTGGTAACATAACAAGAGATATTTCGTGTCACGTTATTAATAAAGAGTGAGACACCAGAAAAACATTGCAGACTGATGCAAAAAAAAGGTTGATTACAAAAAAGGTGCGACAAACAAATTACTGCAAAGTGGAATATACATGTACAATGCACTTTGAATGTGGAATTAGGACAATCCATCCGAATATAAGCTTTTCCCTTTCTTTTTTCATTTGGCTTCTCTGGTTCTCCCGGCTCCAACCTGAAACAGCAACAGGCTATCTGTAACAAATGTAGGTTCAGAAATGATATCGTTGTTCTGTGTTTATTGTTACCTTATCTGCCAACTTGTTCATTGAAATCGGATGACGATCACATATGTTCAAGACTATTTTTAATACGTGGACTGTTAAAACTACTCTAAATCAACACCAAAATGATAAAAATCATTTACCCCCGATGGCATAGGCGAACTGTTCAAAACCATGTCCGATAATGCATTCTCGTCTGGAGGCTGAAAAAATAAGTGTCCTTTAAAATATGCTCATATTAAAATAACCGGTCCTACACATTGTCACTTTTTAATTTTGCATTCTCTACCTAAAACATTTGACCATGGTTCTGAGGAGTTTCCAATATTATGTCACAATATTAAATATCCATAAATATATTCATCGATAAACATAATGTCATGTCCACTTGAAGATATTTATGGAAAGGTAATCTCACATTCTCAGCAGGATTTGCTTATGTGTAGTGTTCAACATACCAGCGGGTCTGCACTATACGGCCCATAAGCGTCCTGGTAGCAGTCAGCCACCTCATACGGTCCCGTGCGCTCGATGTCAAGGAATGCACAGGCACCCCTTGGGCATCTTAGAAGATCGGTGGGATCACGAGTACGTTGACCTCGGAGATAAAAGAACAGCAACCTGCAAGACACAAGTAAAAAGTTCTATTTTCTCTCGCAAAAGAGAACAAAGCAACAAAGCTGTTAAATTCAAAGAAAAATTATAGTAATAAAACTGTTATTAAATATCAGGAAACATCAGTTGAAACAATGGCGAATATCATGCAAATATCATGCCAAAAAGACGACAGACGCGGAGCAGGTGTTGACTGTTCGTTCAGACATACTGTGTCTGTGCATAAAAACCTAAACCAAATGCTTTACTGAAGGCGTGTTGCTATATGTGAAGAATGCGTTGATGATGGATTTCATACCCTGTATCATTGTCCCAGAAGGCTACTGCTTGGTCTGTAAGAGACGCGGCTTCAAACTGCTCCCAGGTTGCCTTCAGAGTCACGACCATTCTGGCGTAGATAATCTTAGTAAAAGCCGAGTTTTTCGGGAAACATATGCCCAAACGGACACGACCCCCAGCCCTGGACGAAAGCGATAATATATACTTAATCTGGCTTATCTCTATGTGTCAAAAGGAACATGATAATTCATAACAGAATATGACTGCATAATGACTTTGTAATCATTCCAAAATGACCTATGTGTTTTGATCACTATCAATTAATTTTTCTATAATTAAAAGCAGAAGTATTTGTTGTTAATGGGTAACTGCCCTACTTAATATCAGAAGAGTGTTCAATGGTGAATCTCTTCTCGTGCAATACAAGTTATTTCAATTTATATTATTTGTGACACCAAAGACATGCTGTAGCGAGTCTAAAGATGAACACTTACGTAAACTGTGCGTATTTTTCAAAGCCATAGGTTTCAATCCTAATCTTGTTTGGTGCCTTTCCAATAAATTGCATCGTGTAGTTATGGTTGTAAATCAAATTAACGGAAATGATACCACCACGAGTGGTAAAAATTTCCCTGTGATGGTGGAGATCATCTCTGACCATCTGAACGTCACTCTTGAACAACGTATTCGTGCTTGTTTTCATGTAGCGGATGCGAATCTGAATTTAAATGGTTAAAATCGTTTAAAGACAACTTTCTTAATTACAAATAATTTATCATTATTATCCTATGTTTTTCTATTCCGAGTTAGAATATGATCTACTATCAAACACTCTGTTCTGTGCATGTTTCGATAAATCACAAAATTGGCGATAAATTTCACAATATTGTGTGGATCATTTCTAACCTATCTGAGTGACTGCTAATAATACCTTTCCATACTTTTCTGGACAAACTCTCATATTCCAGTTTGTTTTCTCGTAGCAGTTTGCGGTATAGTAAAATGGTTCATTTCTCACGACAGATGCCCCGGCGTGGCCTGTCAAGGACCCGTCTATATCTACTACCATGGCGCCTTTGTTGCCATTTCTTCCTCCACTTTCTTCAAAGACACGGTTTCCTGTAGCCTACAAAGCAACTCAAAATATAAACAAAATGATGGACATATTAGGGAAAACGGTCCCCCCCCCCCCCCCCGAGTATTTATAAACACTTTTTTATCGAGCTCAACAATAGCAGAAAACCATTTGAATACAACCTTTCTCATGGAGTACAATTCATTTCCCTGCAGTTTGTCAGTGCTGTTTTTAGATTCTAGCAAGTGTTGTTATCTACGTATTATAACCCAATCAGCAAGTAATTATTTACAATATTTTACATGTAAAATATACTGAACCCAAGTGGCACCCGTCATGTTAATATTCAACCCTTGGCACCAACGTCGTGCCAGTGAATGCTACATTACCCCAACGAAAATTTTATCAAAATTTACATCTAAAATAGTTCGCAAAACATCATTTGCCAGGAGAGGTCCCTGTCAGTTAAATAAAAGGAAAGAGGATATTCTGCCCTTTCAATTCCATTATTTCCACAATGCACGCCAATTCAGACAAAGAACCAGACTGCTTGGGTAGCCTTCACCCTTAAAGAAACTAATGGAAAACCGAAAACAAACATGTGAAGTTATCGTTCACGATCTACAATTTTTTTATTTAGAGCGTAGTTCTTTACAAACGTTTCTATACTTGAATTGGTGGATTTGACTACACGTGTTTAATCTTGCGCTGTTATTTTATTTAAACTAAAGCATACCTCTCCATCTTTGAATCCAAATGTTAAATTTTCCACAGAATTATACGTATAAAAGGACGCCCCAGCATTTCTCTTCCATCCTATTCCTCCGGCTTTCCTGTATTGATCTGTTTGGAAACCATTGAAATAGCAGTTCCTCAAATGGATGTTCAAGTCATAGATAACAAGACCATTCACTTGTGTTCCCCTAGAGTGATACAACAAAAGTGATCTAGAAAATTCATCTCAAATATAAGACAAGGTAGCTGGTCTTTTTTTTAAAAGACGTTCCTGCTTGATCGATGCGAAAGAAATCAAAAGTAGAAAAGCTCTGGTGTTAATAAATTTTTATCAACAACCTTGATAGGTGTCACTTATCTACCGGCAGTCGAATGCAAAATTCAAAATACTTTGAAAACATGTTTTTAAAAAATTACTCAACTAAGAGGATGTGAACAGTCACATTCAATGTGGAGCACAGTTAAAACGATTCTTTCATAATTACAACAATAATTACCACTGTATGTATACCGACGAAAACGCTAGCATGCTACATTATATATATGGACATCTTAGCAAAATTAGAAATCCATTGGATTTATTTCAGTTATATTCAAGGAAAACTAAAAGCCACTTACAAGCTAGACGGGAACGATCTCGGTAGTTTTACCCAAGCAGAAGCTGTACGGTCATAATAGATCTCTGGCTCTCCAAGATTGTCTGACTGGCCTACAAACACAGAGTTCTCTATCCAGACCCTTCTGTATCCAGCACTATAGATAACACAGTGGTGGGTTAAGACATTTATTAAAAATTCTTTCGAAGTGCTGTAGATATAAACTGACGAATTACTAATGACGCTATTAGAATAAAATTAGAACCACAAATTTATAGCCATAAACATTTACATATTTATGTCGAATTAGGGGAGAATTTTTCGGAATTTCAGATTTTTTTCTGCTATATTTCAATAAGTATAACATTCAGTATATCCAATTAAAATGACATTTTAAAAATTAAACGGTTCAGATGTTTGCCGTACTTACACCGCGTGCGTGTGTCCCCTGGGACTGTCTGAAAACCTGGAAAGACGAACATTGCAAACACTACACAAACAACTTCAATATTCATCACGCTATATGAGTATGTATCTGAAAACGTATTTTCACATGCATAGGTAAAAACGATTATTGCTGTAGTGCACATATAGAATTAGGATATCAAAGTATGGAAGATTGTCATTTTTAACACAAAATGATCGCAAATCCATATCCATTCGACCATATATCGTCTGCGTTTATACAGACCGACAGACCAAAGAAAGCGTGTGGTTTATACAGAAAGCTTTATATTGGTAAATAGTTCATGTCAAAACTACAAATACAGAGGCTCACTGCCGTAAAATTGAACAAGAAAAACAGAAAGTGCCATCCTATACCACTTACGAGCTTTGAGATAAATGGATAGGACTTCCACGATACCAGGAGTCTTGATGTTTGTTCTTGTAGCCTGTAAACCTTGTTATCTGAGCCTCAGATCTAGGCTTATAATTGTTCCCAGTTTTCAGTATGCTCTCCGATGTCAAATCTCCTTGGAGTATGAAATCACCAAAGAGGCCATCCTAAAAAAACATGAAAACATTCAAAAAGCTATGACCCATGCGAACATCACATGAAGTAAGTTTTGTGTTAAGAAAGCAAATTGTCTAAATAGGTGTAGAGATCTTCTCATGGCATGAGAAAATTTTGTTCCTATCTGTATGGGTAAAAATCGTGATGTGTTCATGAAGAAAATTGGAAAAAGTAGACAAACTCTTCACTGGACTGCGACTTTCTGAACCGTTTGACTTTAGCTGGGTTGCATTATTTCAAAACACCGTTACATGTACAAAAAGCCTCTAGTGGCATACACCACTCTATTCATACCGATTTCATTTTGAATTTAGTCGGAGTCATATCAGTACCCAAAAATACTCGACTTTGAAACAAGATTCTTACCGTATTTGAATGTGCCTTATTATTTTCAAATTGTGCAAGAGCGGTTCTATCAGATTTTGATTGTAGATGAATTAAACCTTCTGACAGACCCTTCGGATACTTAGGAAATATGATCATAAAACCCCATTCCTGAAGAAAATATACAATTAGCAAAGAGAATATATTGTGAAGACAAGCGTTTTTTTTTAAATATTATTAATAGAAAAAAGTTAATTTCAGATAAAAATTTGTGAAAAAAAATATTCATTGAAAATTAATACTAAAACAAAACCATGTAAAACAAATTAAATTTAGCAAGTTCCCACAACTAGAAATAGCTACCTCTGAAATTCGTTTATCTTTTATTATAGTCTTGGTTTAAGGCATATAAATTTTACAAATAAAGAGGGGAAATAGATATACGTACTTCTGACCCTGCGGCAACGTTGTTTTTGATGAAATTATACGGGTTTGTCAGCCAAAATGTTGCTGGTCTAGAATAAAATATGTAAGTACATGAAAAAGACAACCAGCAGTATCAAAGTAAATGTATCCCTTTTAAACATTTTAACCAAATGGGGTATACTTGACAGTTCTTACAAGTGTATAAATTGTGAAAACTATAATTCCTCATGCCAAAGACATAACTTACGTTTTATCAGCCTGGTGCAAATGGCCGCTCAATGTTCCCAAACCCAGGTTTCCATTCAGGACATTGTCATGTTCTCCACCGTCCTCTAGGTAGTAGCAATGACCGAAGTGCAGGTAGGCAATGTTATCCATAACCTAAAGCATCAAGAAAAATTAATGGATAAAATAACGGCAACTACAGCTATGTAATCTGATTTTGTTCGGCAAATGGATGAAAGTATACCTTTATGCGGTGCCACGTGTGAGTGTGTGTGTGTGTGTGTGTGTGTGTGTGTGAGAGAGAGAGAGAGAGAGAGAGAGAGAGAGAGTGAGGGAGGCAGGAAGGGAGAGAGAGAAGAAAAAAATACATACCTGCAACCCGAATGTACCGTGGATAACAATACACCGCTGGAACGAGTGACGTACCACGTTATTTTTGACTATGGCACCAGCATCGTCAAGCAGCAAATGGTAATGGATGGGATATGATGCTATAAAATTGCAATAAAAAGACTAGCTATTTCTGTATTGCAAAAGCAAACCGTACGACAAGGTTACATTGGTATTGTTAAAACTGTCTACATGAATACCTTAGTCCTACATGTACACTTCTTCATGCACTTTTTCATCATAATCCGGTAAAATTAATTTCGACCACTGTCCAAGTTTCTAACTTACTTCACTATTACTTCGACATCTGCATGTCCCTATCAATGAGCATGCATGTATGAAAGTCAACATGAAAAAGTAAACAACATAAATAATCAAGTGAGCTCATTATATTCGATTTAAATCCCGATATTTGGTTTCCCGAAACGCTTTTTAATCTGTGAAAGAAAGCAAGACGACTATCCGCCGGATAAAAACAAAGCAAAGCACAAATGGAAAGTTTACCTAGCACGCCTGCCTGACCCATGTGGTACAGCTCAACTCCTTCTATGTTCAAAGATCCACCATCAGCCTTTTAAAAGAGAATAATTTTGTATCACTTAAAATATTTATTTATATCCTCTCTCTCTTTCCCTCTCTCTTCACAGTCAAACAAATGTTAAAGGGATAATAACTCTTCGTTTCGGCCAAAAAATGAATTTTCCTGGAGTAAACAACAATTTTCCCATTCTTACCAATGGTTAATGAATCCATTTTTACATTCAAAGTTAGTCCCTGTTTTTTTCCAAAAAGTTTGGTTTTTTGTTAAAATCTCTTAAGAGATTTTAACAGAGTATAGCCATCAATGGAGGTCACGTGGTCTAAAGACAAGCTCAGATATCAGAATAATAGTTATAACTGCCGTTTTTGTGGTAAAACAGAATATATTATATTTCTATGAGTTATTCACATTGTTTTTATTGTGAAATATAGATCTCATACGAAGAGTTATTATCCCTTTAAAATAGTAAATTTGGGCAAATAGTCAAAACTTCTCGATATTGTAAACTGTCTCACTTTTTCTTCTCAAGTGCACACTGATAAGCGACTAAATAACTACGTTTTTTTTTCAATGTCAAAGGTCACTTATACCTTAACATGTCCGCCAAATGTGTCCATGTCATAGAAAGCACACGGGTTGTTGCCATAGCACCTGGGTTGCATTTCGCCGCGAATGACTACGTTTCTGTTGAGTAGTGCCACTTCTGCCCGCATGTCAACGTTATTGGTCACCTCTCCCCAATGAGTATAATACAGGGGAACTGCAAGGGAAAGTTAATTCAGTCTTTTTTCCTCTTATCGAAAAAATGAAGTAAAATTGTTTAAACTAGTAAAACTCCTAATTTTCGTTGACTTATCATGTAGAAGTACAACATTTTCTAACTTGCCGGTCCATATATGTATTTCTATATAAATAAATAAATAAATAAATAAATAAATAAATAAATAAATAAAAATAGTACAAGAAAGGGCTTCAAACCGTACATAATGTTCTGACTGACAAGCGCTCTTTATTTTACTTTCTGTTTGTTATGGGAAGTTTACCAACGGTCACCACATCTCGTTTATATTATTACCGTTTACTGCAACCTGATAATTAGAACATGTTGGGCAAGGCACAACAACTCTCTCTTCGGCTTGAATCATGTCGAAATCGGTGGAACTAATTACCAGTTTGTCTCCTGAAAAAAAGATTGGTTTCTACATGTAGAAATATTGTATTATCATCATGGGACGTTGTAAACTGAAATCTGGGACTATTGGCTATCCCCTACTGACTGTGAAACAAATGTGCCAACATGACTGTATATACTAACCTCTTAACACTCAGTTAGGGTTTTCGTGAGTTGAATTTTTATCTTTATCTATCTATTTAAAGAACATCATGTTAGTTATTTCTGTTTAGTAAATGCTTACACAATATTGAGATCTACGCAGGAATTGAAAGGTATGGTGTAAAACATGGGAATTAAGTTAACAGTGTCTCCGCGAACATTTTTCAGCTGAGACAGAATTCTCCGCCCACTTGATACCTAGTGTAGTGAGGTAGGCGAGAATACACGTGCGAACGATATAGGCCTAACAAAGTTGACAAAAAGGCCGTCTTACCTTCTGACAAGGAGGAAACGTCATCCAAAACGTTTAATATTGTTTGCATTGTCGACAAAATAACACGAAATCGTACGTAGTTTGCCTGGTGTGCCTTAAGTTTTGTCATGTGTCTGACAGAAACAGCGCTCTCAGCAATGAAGCGGAGTGTTCCTGTGGTCATGTCCACAGGTCCAGTTGATGTATGGGTGAACCCGATCTCCGATGACAGCGTCTCTTTTGTCAAACTGGAGTCACCTGCATGTCAAATGATCCTGATAGATAGTTGTGGGTTAAGTCAAAACATACTAGTTGTCGGTTTCAACTCAATATCTTCAATGAGTAAAAAGTATCATAAGTTATGTACTTAGATCATAGTCACAATCCGTTTTTCAATAGCTAGGACTTGTAAGTGAAAACACTCACAAGATCATATCTCTATGCCAGCCATCAAAATGTAGACTTGTGATTGGTTTTCATTCATACTCCGAAGCTACTGAAAAATAACCTGTGGCTATGATAAAAGTTAAAAGTTTAAAAATGCAGTATATACACAGATACGCTCTAACAATTGTAAATCACGAACGTATGGATAAATAAACGGGTCTAAGTCAAAAACCAAGGAAGAGCAGATTGAGTAAATCATACAAGTGAACACTTACCTTTAACTGCCACCATAGCAAACGCGTTGCCATTGACAAATTCCCGGATTTTTGTGGAGCCTAGAGACTCTATGGCATTATCAAACGCTGTGCGATCTGATCCTAATGGCTTCCCTCGCACTGCTAGCATGACGATCGTACCATGAGGTATATCTGAGGATAGAAGTAAAACTTAAACCGGGGTGTTTAAAGGTGTAAGAAAAGGTTTACATTTTTAGTACATAGCGTACAGATAAATATATAACAAATGCTTAATTCAGTAATTCTTACAATAAATGAGCAATGCAAGAATGGCATATTTCATTCGCCATGTGTTGATAACAGTATTATGACCAGACAAATATATATTGCATAGAACGTTTGAATGACTTTGAGCACTTATACAAGTTTCAACACATTCGTTCAACACAATCCACGGCGTGTGTTATAAGACGTTATGTGTGTTCCGTTAATGAAAAAAAAAAAAACAGTACTTACTGTCGATGTCATTTGCAAGAGAGGAATATTGATTGCTCGAATACTGTCCATCGAAAGTCATATTACCGTGATTGGGCTCAAATGTATAGAGATAAACTCCAGATATGTATACATTCCATTTACCATTGACCTACGTAAATGATAAATTGATGAGTAGCTAAAAAAAGCATGAAATTTTGCGATCAGTTCATGGTATATAGTTTAGGGCAGGACATTTCACTTAGTGTTCACATAGCAAAGTGGTTTATTATCGTAATATATACCGAGCATGAGATCTAAAATAACATCAGTTTAAAAGTAAGGTCAGGCAATTTTATCGAAAGGGAAAAATTGGAACATGTGCCATTTGAAGTTCTAAAACAGTATTATACTTATGCTAGTACTGCCCTTACATCATGATCCCATATCAGCCCGTCGTCAATGGTTGGTTTTCTGGCAGTTTGGGTGAGCACGGTCCAAGTGAAAGTATTTGCTCCATGAATTTCCAATGTCCCATTGGTTCGAGCCCCAAGGAACTTTTGACCAAAGTTGCCGACATCGAGATAATCGTCTCTTTTTCCTATAATTGTAAAACCATGCCAAAGTACAAATAATTTGCAAATCATAATCAATGCTTATTTGCAAATGATAAATTATTCTAAGCCTTCGAGAGAGAGAGAGAGAGAGAGAGAGAGAGAGAGAGTTTTCCTTTTAAAATAGTATCTTTTCATTTAAGATTACCGGTCAGGGTTATGGTCGCCTTTCTGTGTTGTGGAAACTTGCACACAGCACTCCCTATTTCCAACTCTCCCATCTCCTCCACGAGAATATAATTAGCTCGCAGTTCATGGTCACCATTAACTCCCCAGACAAGTCGCCCTCCATTGCGTATGGTGAGGCTGAACAGAGGTGGCGGGGATACGTCCAAGAGAATCTGACGATTGTCGATTATTACGCTGGTGTTTGCCTGGGGCACCTTGAATAAAACACATGTAAAATCGAATATTTTTGTATTCTACTATACTAAACAAATATCGCTACGACCCCAATCTATCTCTGGTCTTGGTATCGGAGACAACTTTGACGTGTTCTGGTATGGAAAAAAGGTCTGTATAACTTTGTGGATTTTAGTGTTACTAGGGGGGGGGGGCTGTCCATGGGGGTGGAGAATTTTCATTTTTCACATAATCAATTTTCATTGATATCATAAATACCCATGCATGAAGGCAGTTTTCTTAAGTTGTTATTATCATGTTTGTTATCAATTGTCAATTCCCAGGCAGCGGCATAGATATTCATGGGGACAAAAACATTGTTGCATGGTAATTTAATTTTTTTTCAGCATGGACTTAAAATGGCATGTTTTTTATTAATGGATCTTAACGGAACGTTGGATGTTACATTGTAATAGTGTGTTTTATTTTAAGGATCAACAGTAATACACCTGTAAGACCCTAGGAGTCTCCTAGGCTGTCCCTGGAGGCGGAGGATTATAGTTTTGACATGTGCAAGTACGCAAGTTTTTCGAAAAGTATCATATACAAGATTGTTTTCATTATCCTCACTCACCAGGGCGTCATTTCCCTTTGGCATCTTGAAAGATGAGGATGAAATGATAATATGTTTTAGTCATTTTTCGTCATTAAGTTGTAACAGTTATCATGCCTGTAAAATCTTAAGCACCCATGCAAAAAGCGATTATATACCTTATAAATCATCTTAGTGACAAAGCTGAGTTATTTTTTGAGTTTAGCCTCAAATCGCGTTCAAATAGCGTTTCCCATTTACGCGTGCTTACATGACATCTAAAAATGTCATAATGCACAGTTTCGGCTTTTTTTGTCATCATATATCTGTCAAGATAATTATAACATTATTTCTAAGTGAACGAGACTACTGGCGGCAAAGTTGCCTGCTTGCTATCTATAACGCGTCTCTCTCTCCCTCTCCCTCTCTCTCTCTCTCTCTCTTTTCATGTTATTATCCGGACACTTCTGTC